CTTGAGATAAAAACATTTAAAGCAAGAAATCAAGAGCAACTCAATAAGGATGAGGAGTTCAGTACCTCAGAATGAACATTTTTATATTTAATGCGATAAGTCGTTTTATTTTGTAATGTAAGTACTTGTTATACACAAGTTCATTCTAAGTAAGTAAGTCATCATAAAAAGTTACAAAATATATGCAAGTATAAAAGTCTTCCTCTATGGATGTCATCACTTTTGCAAAATAAAATACAGTGCTTTGTAAAAAAAACAGATTTAAAAATTCCATCTTGGGCCATCCACAGTGGTACATGTTTGTAATCCCAGCTATTTGACAGGTGGAGATGAAGAGGATTATGGTTTGAGGTCAGTCTGGGCAAAAAGTTAGCCAGACTCCCATCTAGATCAAGGAGCTGGGGCATGGTGGCACTTGCCTATGGTCCCAGCTATGTGAGAGGCATATGTCGAAGAATCATGGTCAATGGCCAACCTCAGGCAACAACATGAGATCCTGCTCAAAAAATAACTAAAGTAAAAAGGATGAAAAGTGTATCTCAAGAGGTAGAGTGCCTGCCTATCAAGCATGAGGCCCTAAATTGAAACCCTAATACCACAAAAAAATACATCTTTTAACTTTGAATATTCATTGTTGATGGATCAAATTTGAAATTATCTTACTATTTTTCAGATCCTACTTAACATAATCATTGTGATTGCCTTTTCAATTCTGTTTTACTGTGAATTACATTAGATATGCAAAGAAGTATCTAAAATAAAGATGTACAACCCAATGCTTTGTTCTCTCTCTTTTTTTAATTAATGGACTTATTTTGGATTTACAGGGAAACTGAGCAGAAAGCACAAAGAAAGCATCCATATAAACCCTCCTTGCTTCCCAACACATAGCTTCCCCTAATATTAACATAACATTACTGTGGTATATTTGCCATTATGATGAACACACAGGGGCACATTATCATATGCACTCTGTTTTGTACACTTTATAGATTTGGACACACATGTCATGCATCCACCAACATAGTATCATTCAAATGAATTCTCTACCCTAAAAATTATCTGTGCTCTGACTATTCATCTCTTCTTCAACTGTACCTAAAAAACAGTTGATCTTTTCTACTCTCTTCATAGTTTTGTCTTTTCCAGAGAATAGCATAGTTGGAACTGCATAGTATATAGCCTGTTTGAATAGCCTTCTTCACTTAACATAGATTTAAGATTTTTTTTTGTGCCTTGATAGCTCTTTTTGTTTTATTACTGAGTGATTATCTCATTGTCTGGATGTATCACAATTTGGTTATCCATTCACCTATTGAATGACACCTTGTTTGCTTAACCAAGTTAATCTGCTAAAAGCTCCATAAACAGGACGGGGAATAGAGCTCAATGGTAGTGTGTTTGCTAAGCACGCAGAAGACCTTGGATTCAATCCCTTGCACCATGAGGGGGAAAAAAAAGCTGCTATAAACATTCTTGCGTAAGTTTTTGCATGGACTTTTCAACTCATTTGGATAAATACTTTGGAGTGCAGTTGCTGGATCATATGGTAAGACTATGTTTAACTTTGTTAAGATATGGCCAAACTATCTTCCAAAATGGGTGTATGGTTCTGCATCCTCACCAACAATAAAAAGGAGTCCCCATCATACCACATACTCACCACCATGCAGTGCTACCACTCTCATGCATTTTAGAGACTCCAATAGGTCTGCAGTGGGACCTCACTGTCTTAATTTGCAATTCCCTAATCACATACAATATTCAGCATCTTTTATATGCTTGTTTATATCTGTTCATCTTCTCTGTTTAAGTATATATTAAGAGGTCCTGAGTCCTTTTAAATTGAATTATGGTTTCTGAGTTTTAAGAATTCTTTGTTTGAATGTAAGTCCTTTAACAGGCATGTATTTTATAAATATTTTCTCTCAGCCTATAGTCTGTTTATTCTCTTCACAGTGGCATTCTCAGAGAAGTTTTTACATTTTAATGAAATCCAACTAGTCAACTTCACTTTCATAAGATCATGCTTTTTGGTGTTATCTCTAAAAACATCATAACCAAAACCAAAGATAGTTAGATTTTTCCCTATGCTTGCTTCTAGTTTTACAATTCATTTTAAATTCATTTTTGTAAAAGGTAAAAGATTTGTGGCTAGCTCCATTTTTTAACATGTGGATGTCTAGTTGTTCCAGCACCATTTGTTGAAAAGACTTTTTCCACTGAATTGCCTTTGCTCCTTTGTCAGAGATAAGTTGACTATATTTGTGAGTCTTTTTCAGAGCTGTCTATTCTGTGCTAATGATATATGTGTCTATTCTTTCAACAATGCCACATTATCTTGATTGCTGTAGCATTACATTAAGTCTTGAATTTAGGGAGTGACATTTCTGACTTTATTCTCCTTCAATATTGTGTTTGCTATTTAGGGTTTTTTGCATTTTCATAAAAACTGAGGAATCAGTTTTGTCACTGTTCACAAAAGAAACTGCTGGGATTTTGACTAAGATTGTGCTGAAATTATGAATCAAGTTAAGATGAACTAACTTAACAATACTAAGTCCATCTACCCATCAATACAGAGTATCTATACATTTACCTAGATCTTTGATTATCTTTCATTCAAGTTTTGTTATGTTTCTAATAGTAGCCTTACATGTGTTTTGTTAGATTTATACATGAGTATTTCCCACTTTTGGTGCTAATATAAATTGTATTGTGTTATTAAAATCAGTTCTCAAGTTGTGCATTGCTGGTATATAGGAAAGCAATTTTCTTTAAGTTTATTTTTTTAACTTAAGAGGATGATGCTTTTTAATTTTTTTTAATTTCTTTTATTCATATGTGCATACAATGTTTGTGTCATTTCTCCTCCCTTCTTTAAGTCTATTAATCTTGTGTTCTGCAACCTTTGATGAGCGAAGGTTCAATAACAAAAACATTTCTTCAGTATGCATATTCTATGCTAAATACATGGTTTATCCTCAGATACAATTACAGATGGCCAAGATTAGGCATAGTGTTTACTGGTAATATCTAAATGTAATCACTTTCTATAATCATTTATCTGTTTTAGATGTTTTTGCTATTGTTGATTGTTTGACATTTACTAAACAGACAACCTATCTACTATGGGCAGTTTTATTTCTTCCTTCTCAATCTGAATGCCTTTTATTTCTTATTCTTCTCTTCTTACCTTGGCTAGGACATCTAGTACAATGTCAAATAGGAATGGTTCCTTGTCTTAGTACAAAGCATCTATTTTCTGATGTATGTATTTCTGATGTATGTATTTTCTGATCAATTTTTTTTTATAAAGTAAACATCCATGCAGACACCAGTCAGGGTAACAAAGAAATGTTTCCAGCATACAAGAAGGTCTGGAGCCCCTGCTTCAATTTACTTCCTACTTCTATAACTTAACACTATCCTTACATTTGTTATAAATATTCTTGAATTCATAAACACAATAGTTTTTTAACTTTATATCATTCTTTTATGTCTGTTGTTTCTTCAACATTTTGTTCTGAGATTCTACCACATTGTTGTCACTATACTTTGTTCATTTTCATTACTGTTGAGCAGAGTCAACAAAATGTGAATGGCATTATCTTCCAAATTTTCAACAACCTCAAACCAATAAATGGAAGATCACTACTGATCCATCAAATCTAAACAAGATTTTCATGTTTCATTATACTTTTCAATAATAAAAATAAAGTTTTAAGTAAAAATAACTACTTCATATCAATGAAAGGAATAATGTCATTTTCTAAGGTATTTTATTGAGGTGGATGATCTAAAACATTTCTTGAACTGAGTATCTAGGTCTAATACCAATAAAGTTTCTTTCAGTATACATAGTCTATACCAAATACAGTTTGTCCTAAGCTGTAATTACAGATGGTCAGGACTGGGCATAGTGTTTAGTGGCACTATCACAATGTCTAGTGATTACACATGAATATACATATTATAGATAATTCTCATCATGTATCATTTTAACCATTCTGTAAGATGCAATGTCAATGACAGTATAATATTCAAAACCTATAATGATTTATGTGTTGATTTTGGGAAAATTAAGGATTGTATAATTTGATTTATTAAATTCAGCGATATATTCATTTTCTTCTACTGCATAATTTGGACTTTCAGAAATAAAAAACAATACTCTATCATTGAGTTCCTTCATTACAGAATGAACAAGGCTGTCAATTTTTAAACAAAAGTCAAATTTCTGGCAGTTAAGCCAGTATATCACATTATCAAGTGCCTATCAGAAGAATGAAACACCAGGTAACTTTTCAAATAAAAGTTGTTATAAAGACCAAGAGATTTCTTCACAAATAATTTTCCTAAAACAAGTGTTAGCTTCAATCATGATTCCATCTACCAATTTCTCAAGAAAAAACCCTGAAATTTGTGATTTTATGATAATGAACTCACATCTTTCAAGTTTTTCCTAACAAGTAGGGAGCAGTCTTTCTACTACATTGGGCTGACAAAATTGATATTTTTTTAGCAGATTATAGATATAAAGTCAGTCCAATCAGTTTCACTATGCAGAGTGAAAAAAGGACTTAAGTCTCTCTTGTGGATGGTAGATTTAAATAGACATATTAATATAGTTTTATTCTCAGATATAAAGAAATATAAAAAGACCCAAAGTTTAGAGTAAAAAAGATGATGACACTATTTTAGATGTTAAATCAAATGAAATTGCTTTCCTTGCATCAAAATACTCTCAAAAATTCTTAATAGTTCTTCACTAGAAAATATAACCAAAATCAATCTATTTTGCATTAAATATTATTCTAAGGCATCACCTTAGATTATCAGTTAGTAAATACCCACATAAATCAGAATGTAAAAGTTACCAACCAAACAATGGCATATTTTGTAGAGGAAAAAAAACCCCAAAATCACATTATTTTCTACTAACACCCACACAAACAAGCAAACTAAGGGATGGAAAAGGTAGAGTACTGATGACTTACATTTGTAGGGTTAGACTTTAATTCTCTCTCCCAGGATCCAGGAGTTAATTCTTTGTGCTTACAATGCTCCTTTCTTCAGGATATTCTTCTTTTTCCAGAATAGGTCAGGACAAAGCTTCAACAGACTTCTATTATTTATTTGATCTAGGGGGAAATTATATTTTTAATGAATCATTACAAAACACATCCAACTTTTTCTCTTACTCTGCTGGGGGAATGGGAATCATCCCACTATTTTCTGTTGGATCTGAGGAGAACGGAAATACAGGAATTGCCTTATTGAATGTTATAATAAATAAATCTAGCACTTTAACACTACTTAAAGAAGCCCACACTTATCTTCTTTATCATCTTTATGGCTCAGCATAGCAAAAGGGGATTAATATTCAAAATACAAATGAATACAAAAGCCCACTCAAATGTATTTTTTAAAGATTTTAACATAATTTTGCAAATCCATGAGTTTCAATTGACTGGCAGAGATAATTAGGTATCAAATATTTTTACTAATTCATTTTAATGTCTTAGGGCTAAAGAATTAAAGGATGATTAGAAAAGTGTAAAGAAAAATCCATTTTTAAAATTTTTAATGAAATAATAAAAAGATGATTTCAAGAGCATGAAATAGACCAGAAACAGATTCAACAGCATTTGTAAGGCAGCAAGAAATCTGGAAAGCGATTTTTAAAGATGGGACAAAGATTGGGAAACAACTGTTCAAACTAGGCAAATTAGAGTATATTACATGAGGAGTTCTAAATCTGATATCAACCTAATTCTCTAACCAATCTATTAGGACTTAAAATACACTATATCCCACTTTTCTTTACAAAGATACAGAAATGTGGTTTGTAAGTGTCTGATCTTTGATGACATGAACACTTATAAGATTGAGAAAATAATTCTATAATACAAATTTCATCTAAATGTAGGTTTCTAATAATGGGTATTTTCTACCTCACTAAGTATTAAGTCCAACCTCATGCTTCATTGCTTTAATCCCAGCTATTCTGGAGATGGACATTAAGGATTGTAACTTGAGGCCAGCAGGGTGGGGATAGGTATGGAGATGTCCACTTCAACAAATAAACTGTGATACTAGCGAAGATGGGAGGTTTCATCCCAGGCTGACTCCAGGCAAAAACACAAGACCTTATCCAAAAAAATCAACTAAAGCAAACATGAGCTGGGAGCTGGGGCTATGACTCATGTGAGAGAGCACCTTCCTGGCAAATTCAAGACCCCGGATTCAATCCGTATTACCACCAAAAAGAAAAAAAATTAATAAACGTCTTCAACTTGCGCCATACTCAAGATCAAATCCTGTGTCTTATCCTCAAATCACTCACACTCTCACTAAATAAAAAGTTAGAATGAAAAGGGGAGTATTTAGAGCAAAACTGGAATAAAATGTAGTGTTTGGGGGAAATGTGTATCATGGCACTTTAAGCTCAGTTATTGCTCAGAAACTTAACACATTACATTACATTGGTGCCTAATATTTCTAAAAATATGATTTTTGGAAAGTAAGCAAATGAAATGACTCAATATTTGTATCAGAATAGATAAACATAAAAACTAAAATGTATGAGGGGAAAAGCACCTCTTTAAACCATTTATCTGATCAGAAATCATTGCTTCTGTGAACACCTGTTTTCAACCAATTCAGACAGTACTTGTAAACATTTACCTGACATAACTGAAGATTATTTCAAGATGAAACAAAAACATGTATTTTTCTTTAGAGATTAAAGCTATTGAGGGAGAAAACTCATTTAGGATTAGATTTTAAAATGAAGAAAAATGGTTTGTTTTGTTTTCCAAAGATTCAAGTATTCATGGCATAATTCAGAAGACTAAACATATCAACATGTATTTTCTATTATCAATATTTCCATATGGCAGTTAGAACACAAGTAATTTCCCGTTAGTTTCTAGATCACAGAAGTGGTTTACAATGTTTAGGGTCAGTGTGGATCAATGCACATTCCTATAGAGAAGCCTTTTGCAGTGGCAAAGGATGAATGATTATGATTGACATCAGTAGCAAATAATTTTTGTTGTCCTGGACCACCATGTCATTTATAGCAATACCTATGCTAATTAATGCCATCCATATCTACCAGAGGAATATCCCAGACTGTCTCAGGGTACAGCTGGAGAGAGGTGAAAGCCACATTCAGATATGCAAATGCTTAGCTTTGTGATAAAGAATTAAATTACACAGACACATACAACATGATATATATGTATATATAAACACATGTACAAAAAAACTACACTTTGTCTTTTCTCATGATAAAATCTTTTTAAGAAAAGCAAACTCTTCTTGAAAATTCAATACACTATAATCTTAACCATAAACTATTTAACACTTAACATACTATACTATTATGATGGTACTTTGCAACATTGCATGAAAAATTTTTTGCACACAATCTCAATACATTGGATGCTCATTATCAACTGGAACTATGTATTAATCATCTTCATTTCTCTATCCCGTAAGATCCAACTTAAGGGATATAAGTGGCTTTTTTTTTTTTCAGCATAAATAGTTAAGTTCAGGTAAGGTCATCAAAACTAGGTATAGTGTATTTGTCAGTGAATTCATTATATTCAAAGAATAAATTATTAACTAACACCAGTCATTAAATCAGAAAAACCAATAAAGACCTTGTCTTAGTGCCTGGTACACAGCTAGTAATGAATAAATGTGAATGATAATTAGGCTGACAATTCATTCTGGATTGCCTGGGATGGATGTGGCTCATACCTGCTGCAATTATTAGAAACTGTCCCTTTCTTTCTTAAAAGTGTCCCAGTTTGGATTTTTTTATATATTCACTCAAAATATCACTAATGAATTATATATTTATCATTTGATAATTTCTTTACATAAGCAAGTTATTGTGGTTTATTTGTGTTTGTTATGTTGGTATAAATATATTTTGATAAAAATCTTTTATTGGAATTAGAATAAATAAGATTCCACTCTTTTAACATTAACAAATTCACATAGATTGTCAAGAGTTTACTAAATCCTTAAAACTAAACATTTTTCATTGGGACAGGAAACACCTTCCAGCTGAAAAATCCAAATATGATTTCTTGATTCCTGATTTGCTTAATTTCTCAGCTCCATTTAGATTATTTTTCACTCCTTCCCTCTCAAAACTCTATTTAACTTCTACATACCTGTCTCTTCTGCCCACTCTCCCATTTCTCAGCCTTCCTTCATTCAGGCTCTGATGAACAAAGCATATATACCTTCAACATCCGTTTTCCCAAGATTTCAATCTAGTCCTTCTCTCCTCTTAATCTGTATTCTATTTCTTGTATCAACCACTGCTTGTTGCAAATGATTGCTGTTATGGTTAGGTTATTAAATGTCCTCAGAAGGCCCATATGCTAAAGTTTTGGTTGTCATTCTGTGGTACTACTGGGAGGTAGTGGAGCATTTAGGAGGTGAGGACCAATGGAAGGAAGTTAAGGTGACTGAGAGTGTGCTCAGAAAGGAGATAATAGAAACTCAGCGCTCAGCCCCCTTCTCTCTCTGCCTCTCATTGTTATTTGTTTCATTTGTGGGTTTTTTTGTTTGTTTGTTTGCTTCCTCTCTCTTTCTTTTATTCTCAGTTGTCATAAGGTGACCAGAACTCCTCTACCATGTGATCCCATGATGCACTGCCTTTCCACAAGCCAAAAGCTAAAAGCCAAAGAAATTGTGACCCAAAATAAACATTTCCTCATTTTAAATTATTTATCTTGGGTATTTTGTTGTAATAATGGTAAACTAACACAATTCCCAAATGTATATATCCAGTCCACCACTCTCTCCTGACTTTAAGATTTAAAGTGTCTATAGGATATACAAATGCCTATCTGGTGCCCCCTTATACAGACTTAACTCTTTAGGATCCACACACCACAACACAACCCTACACATTGGCTTTTCAGAAACATAAACCCAACAGTGTTCTTCCCAGTGAGAAGTCCTACAGAGGATTTGAAGGTAACAGAAGATGAGATGTGAAACCCAAAGGCACTGGAAAGAGACATTTGTTCCTGATTTCTAGCTTGCAGTCTCCACCTATTTTACCAATAAAGTTTGTTCCATGTAGTGATTAGGTTTCAAGGCAAATATCACTAGATAAAATACTATGGTAAACATCAAGTACATCATGAGAGTCACAAAATAAAATATCCAAAGATAAAATCATGAATCAGGCTAGGTGAAAAACACAATGTGGTAAAGTCTTTAAAGAGGTGTTTCATAATCCCCTATCAGACTACTGACATTTCTCTTTGTAGAAATGAAGATTTCCTGCCAAATCTGAATTTTCAAGAAAGGCTAGGAAAATAAGTGTGTATGCCTATATATGTGTGTGTGAAACAGAGAGATAAAGAAAAAAAAGCCTGATTTTTAAGACTGAACAACTACTTTCATATTTTTAAAAAATAAAACATGACAATAAATAATATTTTCAGCATCTATAAGGGACATAGACCACCCCTTTTTGACATTAGGGTTAAATGGATAGGGTAGTCAGTCTTGACCTAACAACCAAGTATAAAACATGGTTTCTAAAGGAAATTCTGGTTTGAGTTCTGATCAATAAAAAATTTTTATTAGACCCCTCAGTTAACATTTTGAGAAATATTTGCTATTTACTTTCATTATCTTAAAATACAACCTTCCATCCCCTCTTGCTCTGCTCTTTTTCTTCTACTGCCTCTTAAACATCTTCATTTGAATTTTCTCTTATTCAAGTTAGCAATATTTTGTATATCTTCCGAATTTAATCTCAAGCCTCCTTTTTACTCAAGAAAACTCAAGTTTACTTAAATATATACAAAACAATACCAGACATCCTTCTTCTACCTCTGTAATGATAGTTTTTTTACCCATGGGTCCAATAACAATTTCAAATTCATATCCTTCACACTCACCAAGTATCATCAAACATTATGTCATCATTATTTTGCATAATATTCCAGACCTAAAAAGGTTTTCTAAACATATGTTTTTATAGACTGTTAAGCTGGCACAGAGAGAGGGGGGAACATATTAATGTCTAAATTGAATATATTCAACTTAAAAATATGAAAATATTTCCCAGGTGCCTTTCTTACAAATACATAAT